TGAGATCTGGCACGGGAAAGTGATTATGTAACTCCTCTTCGCAATAATGTTTTCTCTCATTTCTGGGAGAGGGGTTCCGATATACACCCCATATAATAGTGAGAGAATTCTCGGACTCCTCATAATGTTTTATGCTTTAAAAATGGCTACTTCAATTACTTTTTATGTTATAAAATGAGTGTTGAGAGAGAGAGAGAGAGAGAGAGAGAGAGAGAGAGAGAGAGAGAGAGAGAGAGCCAATTCCGCCTAAACCACATTTTTGCGCGTAAGAGAGAGAGAGAGAGAGAGAGAGAGAGAGAGAGAGAGAGAGAGAGAGAGAGAGATACAATTGTGCATATGTCCCGAATCTTGCACAAGTCAGTCAATGGACACATTAGTTATACGTCACTTGTAAATTGTTTCGAGTAAACGAAATGGAATGCTCCAATCCCCCCTCGCCTCCAAACCTATCCCAAATTCTGGTTTTCCATTCCTTTGCTCTATAGAATAACTGATTATTAACAGAGAGACAACACAATGCAGCTTTATTGATTTTTCGACATTTTTTTTTTTTGTATAAAGAAATCAACTGAAGCCCTATAAATCATCGGATACTCGTTGACGTTGGAAAGCATCACATGGTTTATAAAGAAATACATTTTTTCTAAATTGACGTTTTGATTGTTGACAAGGTAGTGAAATTTACAATTTATCTTGCAAACACGTAAGATAATATCGCATATTGTGGTTACCAGTTCATCCCAGTTCTTATCAAACGTGTGGGATCGAATATCCTTTATTTCTACACTCCTCTTTCTCAGCTGATCTCTCCCAAATTACGTAATACAATAACGTGACGTTATGTATAATCATACTTCCCAATAAAGTTGATAAAACGTGATGTACATGTTATAATCATGATGTGTTAAAAATGTGGCTAAAGAGACGTATTTCTTCGTTGAAATGTGTTCTTTAATCAACTGAAATCCAGAAATATGTTACTGGAGTGAAAATAATAATAACAGATCAATAGTATCATTATCCAAACTCAAAATCAATAACACTAAGGCAAATATAAACGAACGAAATATTTACTCGGAACGAAGGAAATATGTACACGAAGACTCACGAAAAAGTACAAGCAAAGTAAGACCAAGTGTTCCGGAAGAGTAAGCGACAGAGACGACACCGCCTAGTAAATCTTGGTCTTTCAAAATAAGTGATATCATGGTATCAAATGAGAATAAGATATACAATAACGGAACCAACAGGCAAACTAATGAGCACCAAATACGTCCAGCTTCATATCGCACACAGAATTAGACAATTTCTCAATGATATAACTATCAAAACAATGAAACATTAGAAATGGAATCGGGGTTATTTGAAATCGGATACAGTGAAAAGAAATTACAATGTTTTCACAAAATTGGATAGAATAGTATTGTTACCATGCAATCATGTTACTAGAGCATTAAATGACTTTTTATAAGTAATACTCTATTTGTAGATGTAAGGTTGGAACAAAATTCTTATTTCTATCATATCATCAATGTAATGTGATTATCACGATAAAAATTGTATATGTAAATTTTACGATTCTGCTATAAATAATCACGCCACAATTTTTCAATGCCGTACAGGTTCTTGTATTTAGGCACTGATGGTGTTCTCTAATGAAAGGAAGTGATACCGCTTTAAACCTGTCATTGGAATCTACTCTTATTTCATTGGCGTCTCTTAACCATTTCTACTTCCAACCATTCTATTGCCTAGACGAAATGTGACCATGTTTTTAAGTTGGTTTTGTGTATAAATATCTCCTAAATGATGTTTAAGGTGACCAAGCTCTATAACTTTTAATTTTCAAAAATTGCTTATGGTGTTTTGTTTTTTGTTTTGTTTTGGAAAATCAATACATTATTTCGGGCTGCTGCAACCTCCCTGTCTAGATTTTGACTTTTCTCTCGATCACTTTTAGTTTTTTTAAGTCGTTTCCTAGGCTTCAAAATCTAGGTTCTTAGCAACATTGATGAATCCTTAAGAACGAAACAGCTTTATCATGCGGTTAAATTCATTTTTGGCTTTTTGGCTCTATTATGCCCAACTCTAAGTTATTAGAAGGTTTTCTTTACTAGTGTGTCTTTTGCACAATCTATGTTAAAATTCGCATGTTTTGTTTGAGTACTACCGAAAACGAAAGTAACATCATCTCCACGTCGGAGTGATTCCGTGTCTGCACAGCGAATGTTGCAATATACTGGTGAGGAGTTTGAGTCTTTAAAAAGAATTACTGATTAGTAAACAAAATCGTTTTTAAAACCAAAAACCAATGAAGCGAGAGTGTTGTCAATGAAACACAAGACGCTTACTGTTCTTGAACGCCTGGTTTCATTCTTCCTGCAGATATTCAGAGAGAGTGTACGTTTAAATCTTTTATTTGTTAATATTCCCCTCCCAATTCGAAATTTTGATTTTGAAACAAAATTATGTGTTTATTGTTCTTTTTTACATCGAGCGTACTAGTGGGCATCAACAATTTTCATATCGCTTAAGGAAAGGGAATAGTTTCCAATAAAATGATGATATAACGCAAACTTCATGCTGTATTTCATAATAGGATAAAAACACACAAAAAAAATTACCTGTTCTAATGATAAACTATACATATACACATATGTGAAGATTTTTTTAACATGGACAACATCCGTGACACCTGCTGTGCATTATGATCAGTTGTTTGTCAATGGTTCGAAATTTACATAGTAACGCCTACATGCTAATGTATTGAGTGCACACACTCATCATGCAAAGACTTAGGTTGGGGACTTTTCGATTTATCCACAATTTATAGGACTATGAGACAAAGAAAGGGGATATTTATGAAAACAATGACAATGCGATTCAGTCAGTTCCATGTGAAGCAAATGTTTTTCTACCAGAGTTGATTTACCTGTGTTTTGTTCGCGTGATCTGTTACCTGTGCTTCTACTTGTGTGATGTGTTGGGTGAGGGTACATTCTGCATAGCGATACAACAGATCACTTTTCTTATTACTTATTTCTTTTTAATCAATAAATTAACAAGACACAGTCATATATTAATACATGTACATCCAGTAATATTACATTTGTTAATACACAACAGATTCTATTGGAATATTGACGCTAGATTTACGTGGTGTGAACTTCATGACAACGATGTATGTAGTAATAGGAAGAAAGCAAAACTGAACACGTTTTCACAAAATATACATCGATTTCCAACAAGTACACTCCACTGGTTATAATATAGAGAAGCCCTCCTATTTAACTGGAAAACACACTGGCCAAATGACAGATTATACTCTTTCTCCAAGTAAGACACATTGGATTCGATGTTACACAGTATTGCGCAAATCAAGGCGATGCCAGTATAGGATATTATGATGACGACGACGACGACGACGACGGTGACGATAACGTTCACGATCCTCTACTGCTTTTTCAATTGTATCGTTGGGCAAGATTATTGACGCGAAATGGCGTATACTACAGAGCACCTACCACATGTTGACTAGAAAGGTAGCTGCCTGGTTCTTCAGAAAAGATGTGAAAGCCTCAGAGTGCTGTTGGAAGAATGATCAATCTGGCGATGATCAATCTGGCGAGGATCAATCGTGGTTTTAAGTCAATGTTCGTGCTCCATTGTTTACTTGGGAACAAAAGCTTGTTAAAAAAAAGATGTTTTTAGTATTTTCACTCAAGTTGTGAACATAATTTAATGTAAACCAAACTAGACAAACAATAGTTTATTTCAATTAATTTATCGACAAGATATGTAAAATATATAACTAAACTCATCTATTTCTCGTTTCTCTTTTTTTATTAATTCAAATTCATAGACATTGTTATGCTTCGTTCATCTATCCCTTTTTCCCCAATTTTCGAAAACAGTTATAAAATGATAAGGTCTTATCACATGAAGAATCTGCCTACACTACCTAAAACATTAATGCCGATACAATGTGTTCAGGACTTAACATAAGTTCAGTATAGTTACAGGCTGATATAAAACACCTGTCTACATTTACAAACACAACAAATACAATGTATGATAAACGGTTTATAATACAATTTTGGGACTACAAAGATATTGGAGGTAACGTTTAAATTGTATATAAAATAACACGTATTGGTAAGGAGATTTCTGATGGCATCAAAATGTTTCAGAAACTACTACATATTGGGAAATTTCTCATATCTACTACATTACATATCATCTTAGGACATCCATACGTTACAATGGAAATCAAAAGAAAATGATATCAAATAAGATGAGGTGTGAAAACATGTTTTAGATGTTTCGTCACTATCATCAATGTAAGACACCTTAACAGTGATACTTTGTAAAAACTTTTGTTATATTTTTTTTTTTTTAAAAAAAACACTACAAAATAAACATTTAAAACAAAATTAGACAAAAGTGTCTACTATATGACAAGCAAATTCGCATTTGAACAGTTACTAGGAATTTTCAATTTTAGGTTTACTTCGTTTACAGTTAAAATCACGTTTTATCACATCACGGTCCATGGAAGAAGAGCTTTAGTGATACAGATTTCGACAACGCCATTATCGACCAGTCATCAATTCTTGAATTCACTTGTTATTATATTTATAGAAATCAACATGTTTATCTTTGGTGAATATGGGTATGTATTACAGCTTACGATGACGACCTCTGTTTCGCAACGGTCAATATATCAGTCTTTGGGGGTAATGGATATCCATATTCAGCTCAGTAAATGGTAATATTCGTAAACAATGCATGTGTTACATTGAACAAAAACAACAAAAACACATTGAGGAAGTTCTATGCAGCTTCCGATTGACATAAGTGTTACAGAAAACCATGCGCTTTTGTCAGAAGTCAATACATGACGTTATCAAGGCATTTTCATTCGATTATAAGTTATATGTACTGATCCCCAACCACAACTATAATTGTGATATTGAACTAGTCTCAGTTACTATCTGGAACTATCTTACTTCGTTCTTACAGAAACATATATCTCCCTCCTTTTCACATCCAATCCGATTGTCACCGTAGTTCATACAGTACACTGTGAAGACCTCGAGCCTCCCTCGACAAAGGCACGGCCCTGATTCGGGCGTTTTCATTACCGAGGGGGCGGGGTCATTATCGTACTCGGCAATCATACCACGTGACAGACTGTGGCTATTCTGGTTGTAATTTCTATTGTTCTGACCGCTGTTGCCGTAAGTGGATTTCCCATATCCCTTATTAAACCCATACTGCTGATTTGTATTCCTCTGATTTCTGTTCGCATTATTACCATAACTGTTTCCGTTGTACATTTTATTGTTTTTCGCATTTGTGTTCCACTGATTGTTATAATTAATATTTTTGCTATATCCGGAATTTCTGTTGCTGGATTTGATACCATTGGTACCGTAACCACTATTTCTATTCGTGTATCTATTCGTGGATTGTCGGTAATTTCCGCCATTATGTACTCCATTAGTAAAGAAGCCGCCATTTCTATTCGGATATTTAATTTTGGATTGTGGGTAATTGCCGCCATTGTGTACTCCGCTATTAAAGAAACCACTATTTCCTTGTGGGTGACCGTTTATGAATTGACGATTGTTTCCAACATTGCTGATTCCCCTGAAATCATTACCAACAAATCTTTCTGGGTATCCAGTCGGAATGTTTTGGACGTTTTCGTTATTGACGTAGTAATGTCCGAATGGATATCGTACAAACGGCTGATGTATTGTACCAAATCGTGTGTATTCGTTGTTAAGACCAGTATATGACTGTCCATACCATTGAAGACTAGGAACGTAGGTATTCCACGACGAATATGCAGGGGAAATTCTGGGTAGGGTAAAACCAGAATTAGACACGCCCCCAAACGGCTGAAGATGATTTTTCATTTGAGAGGCAAACAATGCAAGCAAAAGAAATATAATACCAAGTCCTGATTGTCCAGACAGAATGCTTGTTACACCTAAAACACTTGGAACTATGGCAGCAGCTGCTGCGACCTGTGGTTGTACCAGCCGAGCAGCCTGAGGGGTGGTGTCGCTGACGGTGGTTGTACTAATGGTAGAAATGGTTACGCCACTTGTTGGTTCTGGCTCTCTGGTCGAGCTAACTTGTTCCGCCGGTCTAGATGTTGTCAGAACGATAATAATCGGCGGGCGTGTGGTGGTGGCAGACGTGGTTTCTGTGACAGAGGGTGTGGCTTGTACAGTTGTAGGAGAGGTTTGTGTGACGATAGTTGCCGATCGTGTGGTGGTTGGTGTGTTTTGATTGGTCGTTGGTGCTATGGTGGGAACAGTTCCAGCAGTAGTTACATCATTGAGAGATGCAGTTGTCAGAACAACAGCGGACGTTGTATGATGGGGCAAGGTCCCTGGGTTTCCGTCTGCGGAGAATATACTAGCATATTCGTCGTAACGGGGCCAGTCGAAGTGATGAGGGAACTGTGTCCCCTGTGGCACTATGGCAATGTCGGCACAATTGGTCACTGTGGGGCCACAAACCAGCATATCCAACATTTGGCACGTGTAAGCTCCGTCTGCGCAAAAAGATGGTTTGAACAATAAGAGGATGACGTCACGCAGGCCGTTCAAATGTACATACAAACGGGAAAAAAATTGTAGTCATATAAAAGTAGTGGCATTTGTGCAATTGTAAATGTCCCAACAAACTTCTTGATCAATTATGATGACACAATCATACATGTAAATATATATTTGCTGTAAAATGATATGTAATATTAACTTATGCAGGGCCGTTCAATGGTGCAATATATCGCTATACATTTTCACAAAAGTGATATTGCATCAAGGCCAGTACATCTACGTAGCTGTCAGAGAGCATCATGGGAAATATATGATACAGAAACGTAACAATTGAAAATAAAACAGATAGAAAAGAGACATTCATATATCTTAATACAACTAAGCATCATAACACAATGATCTGTTCATGGCGAATAGGACTCACCTATCCATTTCCACTGAAGTACACAATTATCACACGTAAGACCGACCGGAAGTTGAAGAGTATATGTTGCATATCCGCTGTAAGTCGGTGCCGGGATCGTCGTCTGTCCTGTGTTTGCCCAAGTCAATTTATGTGAAAAACAATCGTGCGTGACAATTGTAGAAGCATCCGTTTTACACAAGGCAAATTGGTAAAATCCGCCTGCTAGGGGTGTCCGAACATCAAGTGTGACATTGATGGTGGCGCCCTCGTGATAGTACCATACCACTTCACCGATAGCGTATTCACCCCCGGGTGCCTCATTGGACCTAACCGCCGCGGGGTTAGTGGGGTCCACTGCGTCACCACAGGGACCGCACGATGTCTGATAGGTAGTAGGCGTCACCTAGATAGAAAAAAATCACAATGTTAGGAGTAGGTTAATGTTTCATCAATAAATATCTTCTATCTGTTTTTGGAATATGTTGAGAAAAAAATAGAATTCATACGCCAGAACCTATTATACCGGATCTGGATCAGTGTAAGCAATCTCTGGATATCAATAATATATCAAACCCTGACATGTCCAACCATGTAATACATGACTTCAAAATTGTGTAAATTGAAGCCATCAAATCGTACACAAGGTTGTTTTTTACTTATTTAGTATAGACAGTTTTTCCTTGACGACGAATCATGAAATGGAAGCAAGACTATTCATAAAAAATATGTTTTCCAACAGACAACCGCAAGCTTGGTGGCTCTCATCTACTGAATTAAATAAGATCTAATCTTATACAACATTTACTTAATAGTAGTGAGTCATCAGAATCCATGGATTTTGGCTGTCATAGCGATATCTTTAAGGTGCGATTGATTTAGCTCCTGCCTTTCGTTTGAAGATGTAAGAGAGGTTAATGTTACACGTAATTCAATGACCGTCTCGCTAATGTTTCGCTTGCTAATTACTAATTGCTAATAACTTATACAACATGTATATTATATATGCTTTGAAAATCTTCTGTTTCCTGTTCCACGTGTTTTAGTTCGATATTGATCATAAAACCATTTATCTAATCAATGTAATGATAATGAGCACGCATATAATTAGGGGGGGGGTTGATGTACCTAGGACATCGACTTAAAATTAAAGAAGTGGAACTGCATACTACATGTATCAATGAAATAAGGAAATAAGGAAATTGTTCGTTTCTGCCTTTCATCGTCAGTATCAGAATTATGATGCATAGACTCATTTTAGAATATTTACATGTCCATGTGTATGGCAGGATCTAGTCGACACCCTATCCCTAACAGTGTGAAATTTATCAAAATCTCAATCCTTCATTCTACTTATTGTTGTTTTTGTCATTTCATTTTCCTGTTATTTAGACATCCGGAATTAGAAAATAAGGATTGATGTTAATGACTTTGACCAGAGTAGGTTTCCATCAGTGTACAATGTTTAAGTTTAAAATGATGTTTTTCTCGTCAAATGAGTATATGAACTGTAAAGGTTAAGCTTTTATAATCTATTTTTTTAGAAGGTCAGAGGAATAGGACCTGTCCTATCGTGATGTCAGCGGAATGAGCAATAGACAAACGTACAGAGGAAATGAAGCGGAAACATGTTCTAGGTTTCTACTTAAGTTACACATATTATATAGTTGGTAACTTGTGAAATTGTCTATACCTTATCATTTTCCTTATTACCACAAATAATTTAATATTACCCTTTTATGGTAGTAGTTTATATAAAATGATATTAACATTATGGTACAATAGATATCTGATCTAGAATCCTACAAATTAAGAAAAATCTTAATCAAGTGAAAACTGATCTACAATCGTGTGTATAAATATGATATTAATGTTTGGTGTGGTTCTTCAACAAAACTCGACGTGATGTTATATTTGTATTAAAATCTACAAATTAAATCAGAAGAACTTACGATCTTGCCACCACAATTGAGGTTTGTTGTGTAGTCAAAATTAGCGATGAGTCGAGAGGCGTACTCCGCGTTCCCTAGGTAAGCCCACATTGCTGATCGGCCCGGGGGTGCGTACAGAGCAGCCTGTCCTTTAATTTCACGGATACAAAACACCATCCAACACAAAAACAAAACCCCCAGGGGACAGACCACACACTCGAGTCGACCTTTCATTGTCATCAACACCCGGCTAGTTCAAGTCAAAAATATTATCCAAGAAGTCACCATTGTCTTGTTTTGGAGGTCTACGTCCGGCGTGTACTTCTCTAGCGCAGCACTAAGGACCCGAGGTCGGACAATCGTGACGATATTTAGAATTCTGACCACGCTGGACACGGATGATTGATTAACAAGGAAGTTGTAGCGTGTAAGTGATCGTTCCAATGTTGAAGAGTTGACCGATACGTGTGTTAAAGGATACATGTATACATCTATATACCCAGGTAACACTTCTAAGCACGGAATGTTGATGGCTACATAATGTATGAGAAATATATTGAATCACGTGATTCTAGGGGTTTTATTTTTTAAATATGAAGGATATAAGCTTCAATACCATACTATTTACCTCTTTTAAGAGTGTTACAATATAATATTTGGAGAATATACAGAGATGGTATGTATATTGACAAGCATCTGAGATGTAACAGGATAAGACAAAATTCAAAGTAAAAATAATTAAACAAATCATAATATTTTATTTCTAAACGAATGCAAAAAGTCTAGTAATCTTTTCCGAATAATTCGTTCACATGCTAACAATCCTAAGTACAAATAATTGTATGCCCTGATCGTGAACACCTGAACACAATACAGTTCATCCTCGATACGCGCTTGCTAGAGAGTGAAGGTGATTGTTACCCGAGGGGTATGGAGGATGGATGCAGTTTAATTCAGTACCGTCTACAAGTCTAGATTTATATTAAAAGGTACTATCCACTTTTGTGTTTTCCTTCATAATCTTTTCCGTGGTTTGTTTTATACAGATTAAGGTTTTATCTGTCTCATAGTTGAACAAAGACAATGTGATTACATCACGTGATTCTTGCAAACAAAGAAGGTAAAAAGGCTTATGATAATAATCAAGGGAGGTAATCATTAACATCGACATGTGACCCCACTAGGGCCAACTATAGTACCCGCATAATCAAGCTGTCAATAGGCACATTTTACACATATCTATTATAGATAAGTAAGATCCCTCGAGGTTACTGATGGAAAGTTACATCACGAGCAGGCGACGCTAGGTCCAGGTACATATACAAATACCAAGACCAATGTACTCTGTGACCTTGCTATGACCTATCTATGGAATCATTAACGTGCCATTCAGGGGTGGATTGTAACATAAGACCAAGTTATGATCACGAAATTACAACCTCATTATATCGTCTTGAAGCAACACACAGGTACTGGTCACAAGTGTTTCTACATCTTCTCTATTTCCTGAGCAGGGAATGCAGTGATACTTTTGTCAGGCATTCAATTATAGTTTCGTTTCCGCTCTTTAACACTTTATCTGATACAGATATAATAATCATATTTGGTCTGTAGTAGTATAATGATAACATACAGGTCACTGTTTAGTTGTTGTCAATTTTTCCATAGTCATTTATATTTTTTTTCTCTAAAAACCGTTAAGATAACAAAAGGAGGACCTTTCCTTTCTCAAATTGCATTTAAAAAAAATGACAGACATAACCTCAAATTTATTTCTATTCTCATTAGCCATTATGCAGACAGGGCTGCAATTTTTCTTCGTGAGTCGTGAGTGCAACACCTATATATAAACAATTCAATTATCGTAAAAAGTCAAAGAAAAATGCAGATTTTCATTTCTTTACAATAACAAACTGTTCGAAATGCTCAGTTATTAGATATGGTAAAAAATCGTCCATAGTAATTTGCAATTAATTACGTTTAAATCAAACTAATGTTTTAAAACGAAGTTAACGTTTTGTTCGAAACTCGATTCATACCGATTGTCTTTCAGTGTCTGAGAGAAATCTACCTGTGTAAGCCGAAAAACGATTACCTGACGCAATCTCTCGAGGTTATATTAGATTTGTCTCCATAAACTAATCTGAATGGCAAAACTCCAGCATTCACACTAGATCTGACAGCAATCAATTGAAAGTTGAATAAACGTATTAATTGATAGTTTGGTTTAAGATATTACAAATCTGTTATGTGAAAACAAATATGTTTACTTAGCAGGTGGGTATGTACCTTTAGCTAATTCTGTTGGCTGTTACAATTTTTGCACTTGAAAGAAGTTTTAATCGTTACTCTGCTGAGGGAGAAACTGTCCTACTGGTTCCCAGTGGGTCTCTGTAAACGATAAAATCATCCATGTTATTTTAGAGATAAGACTATGATTTTTTTTTTAAATTACACTCCAGACGGGGAATGTGGCGTCCTTTAAAACCAAGATAAAATTGTAAATCAATTTGGAAATAACTCGATTGATTATTGTCATCTTTGATTCTCTTTGTTTGTGTATCGAATGTCACACAAACACATAATGTGTGCAATATTGGGATGGAATGACATATGTTAGAAGAGTTTTAAAAAATTCACTCCATCATGCGTAACGTAATGGTAGCACAGTGGTATGTTCGGAAGCTCAGAACTACAAAGGTCCAAATATGTACCATGTCAGCTAGTTTTGTTTTGATTTAGTTAGTAATTTTATACATGTTTTATGTTTCAATAATTGCGCAACTAAACCAACCTAAAATTAGATGTCGTTGAACACTATGTCCTCTGACTGTTCAGATCTGTGGTTTTTCCTAGGAAGAACAATTCAGGAGTGTATAGTTTAAACATAGATATCCACGAACAGCCTCACCAAGGTATAAAATGTCTGTTTTTTTCCTAATAGTTGGTAATTTGTGTTATATGTAAATTTCCGCTTGTTGACATTGAATACGGTGACGGTCCGAAATATTTTGACGTACCAAAAAACATATGTGCATATATATGTGTGTATTTGTAGTTTTTACCGAGTAGATTTCTACGACGGTTTTACAAAAGTTACGCAAGTGAAAAACACCCTTAAATAAAAATTCAGAGTTAGATACAGTACAGTCAAATAGTGTTGGTAATAGCAGGTCGAGTGGTAACGGCATTCCGCAAGCATGTTTGAAATCAACTGACAATCCATTTGATGAGATCTAAGTCATTTTCTAGTGACTGATTACTGAATTAGTCTTAAATAGGAAGCTTGAGAGCCTCCGGAATGACATACAGAGAGAACATTTCGGATTTAAACATCAATACCAGCAAAACGTTTGGATAGGCACTAGAAAGTATAGTGGCCAGAATTACCTGCCAGAACTGAATTTACAATGGGGAAGAAAAAAAAGTTGTTTTTTTTTTTTGGATAGATTTCACTATTGATTTAAGTGAAATTCCTAAAATGAATTTTGATAAAAAAATCTTTATAAAACTTAAAAGCTCTTATTAACATTTGGAATAGACGGAATTTGACTCCATTAGGCGAAATACATGTTAGTAAATCATTGTTGATTGTTAGTTATCTGTTTATCTCCTTACCAAACGCTACAGAAAAAATATATATTAATCAGCTGATTACACTATTTTTTCTTTATGTTTTTATGAAATGGTAAATGTGATAAGATTAAGAAAGACGTTATGATTCAAAGTTATATAGGTGGAGGTTTAAAGATGATAGCTGTGCACACTGTTATAGATTCTCTTAAGCTAGGCTGGATACGGAGAGTAGTACACTGTTAATTCTAAATACTAAGATGGATCTATACAAACTATATAGTTTTGGAAATTAATATATCTATTTTTGTGAATCGTTGGAGAGATGCTTTTAAAACATGGAATAAACTTGATCATTCTAAAGTGATGGAGATTAGTGAATAAGAAACAATTTTGAAAACTGCTGTGTGGTACAATAAGGATATTAAGATAAATAATAAATATGTTTTTATTCTACTTGGTTTGAAGCTGGTGTGATTACATTAAGTGACTTTATTAAAATTTTAGATAGATTGACTTTTTCTCTTTTGATGAATTTTTACAAATATTTCATGTGAACACAATCTTATTACAGTTTGAGAAATTGTAAATGCACTCAAACATTTTCTAGAAAATCGTTACTTTTATTTAGAAATACCCTATCTGCCCTCTATACCATATTATTTGGAAATATTTTTCAAGACTTTAAGAGGATCATGAGATTTTTATAATTGTTTAATTACTCCACCACTGTTGCCAGCTGGGATCAGAATGTGGAACCAGGATTTTGACTTTGATACAGAAAGATAGGCCAAGGAATTTAGAGTTTCGTTTTTCAGTCACTAATAGTTAAATACTACAGTGGTTCCAATTTAGAGTTGTCATATTTTGGCTACAAATACTTTTCTTTATAAAATGAATTTAATCGCTAGCCCTTCCTGTACGTTACGTAACATGGAATATGAGACAATAGTTCACGGGATTGTCAAGAGGTGCAATTTTTGCTTCAGAGATTTGAAACTTTTATCGATGTATTACTGATTCCGTTTGGTTTGAACAAGGATTCGTTTCTTCTTGGAATAGTAATACAATATTGTAATCATATGGATAATGAAATTTTAATTCCTATCAAGCATTAAATCTACAAAATTAGTTGCGTCAGCAAATTCCTAAACCTCAATGCACTCATCAATGTTGTAAAATATCATTTCCTGGTTCAAATATTTGTAAATAACTTTAAAAGTGAGCTGATTAAATAACATTTTGTAAAAGGATGGAGAAAATGGAAGCCTCTTTTGGAATTATAGATTTAATCCAGAAAGTATATTTTTTGTTTGATTTTTGATGTTTTTATTATTATCAATATTAACATTATTAATAACCCTTAAATAGATATCTCTGATTTATGATTTTGGTTCTAGTTGGCCACTTTGAATACCATTTTATGATAAGTTTAAGTCTGGTTTTTGTATACAATGAAACCATGCCTCTCTCTGACCTTGTCTCTTTTTTCTCTTCCCCTTCCCGCCCTTACTATGCTTATCTCCTCCTTTTTTCTAAAATGTGAGTACATGTACTTATGATGTGCGTTGGTATATGTGTGAAGGTGTGTAAGTGTGTGGATGTGTGGGTAATATGAGTGACAATATTGACGTTATGGATGTGTGTAATTTTGAAATGGA